GGGCTGGTCCCGCCGGAGGTGCCGGGGGACAGGAGACGGGCGTGCGCTGAGACCCGCTTTGTTGGCTGAAAACTGCCGCAGGATGGAGACATTCCAGGGATGTGATCTGTGTGTCTGAAGAGAGTAGGGGCGTAGTATTCATCTGTGCAGTTCTTCATGTTATTTATTTATTTTTAAAATATGTTTTTAATGATTTCAGAGAGGAAGGGAGAGGAAGAGAGAGAGAAACATCAGTGATGAGAGAGAATCATGGACCGGCTGCCTCCTGCACGCCCCCCCACTGGGGATGGAGCCCGCAACCCGGGCCTGGGCCCTGACCAGAATCGAACCGTGACCTCCTGGTTCATAGGTCGATGCTCAATCACGGAGCCACACCTGCGGGGCCAACTGTTAAATTTTAAACTCGGGCCATGACTTCGCCTGGGTCCTCCTTGGGCTGTGTGGGATGCGGGGGCTCAGACAGGGCCAGCTCAGCGGGGGCGGGGCCCAGTCCTGCCGGAGCTGTTCAGCGATGCCAGGCCTCTGGCCGGTGCTGGGCCTCTTCTTTCTCTGCTGCACCGCACAAGGCAGGGACCAGAAAGCTGAGCCCTGAAGACAAAACCTACGTGTGTGTGTATGTGTGCGCGTGCGTGTATGTGTGCGTGTATGTGTGTGTGTATGTGTGCGTGCCTGCGTGCGCGCCTGCCTGCACCACAGACAGGGAGGGAGAGGACAATCTGAGCCAGCGAGGTCTGCCAAAGGACAGCCTGTTCAAGTCCCCGTCTCCGGGGCGGGGGGGCGCTAGGAAGCGCCTGCGATAAGGCCTCCAGCCCCCCCATCGGCGGTGCTGGCAGGACAGTCTCCCGGGTCACAGTGATGATGCTGGTGGTGACCCTGAGGACAGCAGCTAGAGTTTTTAAAATCGATTTCAGAGAGGCAGGGAGAGGGAGGGAGAGAGAAACATCAACGGTGAGAGAGAATCATGGATCGGCCGCCTCCTGCACGCCCCGCACTGGGGATGGAGCCTGCAACCCGGGCCTGTGCCCTGACCGGGAATCAAACCGTGATCTCCTGGTTCCTAGGTTGACCACTGAGCCACGCCGGGCGGGCACATTTTTTAATTAATTGCTGACCACACTCCAGGTGCGGGCTCCTGCGGGCTGTTCAGAGTTAAGGCCGCACTGCTGGCGCTGGGCTCCCGGTGTCCTCACAGGCCGGGCTCCTGGGGCCCAGACTGCTCTGTGTCTCAGGCAGGACACCACCACCAGGGCTCTGCACACGTACCCTGTGCTGGGCACCCCTCTCGGTGTGTCCCACAAATGGTCTCACCCCAGCCTCCTGCGAACTGAGCTCTGTGAGTAGCTAATATTCTCCCCATTCCACAGATGAGGAAAGCGAGGTGCAGAGAAGTTAGGGATCTCGGCCGAGTGGTGAAGGGGGGTGCTCGCGAGTCCACGAGTCCGTGCCCCTGGCCACACTGCTGTACCGGAGATGGGGCCCACGGGGTTCACCTGCCCGGTCCCAGGCCGGCGTATTCCCTGGTCAAGGCAGCGCCCTGCAAACATGGGTTCAGTTGACTTAGGATCCAGCCCAAACCAACACCACTAGCCATGAGCGACTGATCAGAGCTGACATTTTGAAGTTAAACTTCTTTTCCATCCCTGCTCTGAGCATTGTGAGGGCCACTCGGTGTCATCCTGTCAGGGATGGGCCAGCCCTGACAGCGACTCATGTATAAGGGGACCCAGGGCCCGGCCGGGTGGCTCAGTGGTTGAGTGTTGACCTAGGACCCAGGAGATTTCCATCCCTGCTCTGAGCATTGTGAGGTCCACTCTGTGTCATCCTCTGTTAGGGATGGGCTGGCCCTGACAGCGACTCATGAAGAAGGGGACCTAGGCCCGGCCGGGTGGCTCAATGGTTGAGTGTTGACCTAGGACCCAGGAGGTCACGGTTCCATTCCCGCTCAGGGCACAGGCCCGGGTTGCTGGCTCCATCCCCAGTGAGGGGCGTGCAGGAGGCAGCTGATCGATGAGTCTCTCTCATCATTGATGTTTCTGTCTCCCTCTCCCGTCCTCTCTGACATCGATAAAGAAGGGGCTCTGAGGGTGCCTGAACCCCTCTGTCTGCAGTGGCGAAGCAGCGTCCGCCCGCTGGTG